ACTAGCGATGGCCTCCAACCTACTAGCGATGGCCTCCAACCTACTAGGATGGCCTCCAGCCTATTGGGATTGCCTCCATCCTACTAGTGTTTGCCTCCAACCTACTAGGGATGTCCTCCATCCTAATAGCAATGGCCTCCAACAACATGCTATCGAAGCTATCTAAAGTCTCACAAATCCAAGCGTGGAATGCTGAAAGCAGCATGGGGAGTAACTTCGTCTTGGCTGCATCTTGGGGAGCAGATTCGGGTGGCAACGCATGAGAAAGTCATTGTGGCCATACTCAGCTCCCGAAGTATCCGTGAGAGGCGAAGGGCAAGAAAAAGAAGGCCAAGAAGGCCGGGGAGGGCTGCAGGTTCGCAGGTATGGCTGCAGGTTGGAATAGGGAATCTTCCTCTAGAGCCTCCTTAGCTCAAGCAGCAAAAGAAACCACAGTTCTATGAGAAGTGCTTTGACTTTCCCGTTTTCACTCACAGATCGTCGAGAAGTTGACTTCTCTCAGGCTCAGGGTCCAGATGTTCCAGGCTATGACCTCTACAACGAGGCAAGGCAGACACATTGGTTGCCTGCGACGTGCTTGATTTTTCAGGAACATGGTTGCCTTCCTCTCATGAGTGTTGCTGTGGAATGTTTCCACAGCTCGTCGTAAACGGGAAGGGCTGGCCACGGCCAGATAGTTTTTTGCGACCCTCACAAGGCACAAGGCACACAGGGAACTTGTTTGAAAGGTCTGCCTTCAAAAGAAACATGAAAGGACATATTATATAATTACAATAATATATACACATATATATATATATATATGTTAATTATATATATATAAGAAGCTACTAGTAACAAGAAGCTACTAGGGGCTCCTGGCCGTACTACTAGGAGCAAGGACGCTACTAGCGGCTCCTGGCATCGCTACTAGGAACGAGAAGCTATTAGGGGCTCCTGGCCTTTCTACTAGGAGCAAGGACGCCTACGAGCAAGGACGCTACTAGTGGCTCCTGGCCTTACTACTAGGAACAAGGACGCTACTAGGGGCTCCTGGCATCGCTACTAGGAGCAAGGAGGCTACTAGGGGCTGGCCATACTACTAGGAACAAGAAGCTATATAATAGAATTATTTGCAGTTTGCAGTGGGGGGCACAGCTTTTCCTATATTCAGCGGATTCTGCCTGTACTTCGGATGTAAGTTGTAAGAGGAGCCTAAAGATTTGCATCCCTAAATGCCCTTTGAGTCACCGGTCTTGAATACTGTGCCTCCCCACGCTACTAGGAGCAAAGGGCATCGCTACTAGGAGCAAGGACGCTACTAGTAGCTTTTGGCCTTACTACTAGTAGCAAATAGCGCTACTAGTAGTGATGCCCTTTGTTCCTAGTAGTTTCTTGCTCCTAGTAGTAAGGCCAGGAGCGTACTGCTGCTTAATCTGGTTGTAGCAACTTGCTCACAGAGTGTGGGGTGACTGGGCAAACAATTGTGTGACTGATGGAAGGGTGACTTCTTGACC